CCTCGCCAAAACCCTTTTCTTTTGCCCGTACTGCTCCTCTTTTTACAACATGCACTTTTGAGGGTCACTGCGTTCACATAACGGGCTGTTCATCATTGTCCCTACACCTCTCCCCTGCTTTCAGTCCGCCGCGACTGGGAATGACTCAGTTTTCACCTGGTTTCTTCGCACTCGTTCGAACATAGCGTTACTACTATTGAGTAAAAATAGGTAGAACCGCGAAAAACGTAGAACGATAAAGAAAAAGAAGAAAGAAATCTCACATTCTTCTCTTCGATTCGTACTGTAGAGCCACAAGGTGGTGGTGGAACTTTTAAGTCGTTAATTTCCGCTAAGAAAAGTGTATTTATGAATGTGGACTTGCCTAGTCCACTTCGTCCTGAAAAACTGCGGTTTAATTGGCCCATTTTCGGACAGTTGTTTTTTGCACTAATTAGCTCACCTACAACCATTAACGTAAAATTAAAGCCATGTTTGATTGCTCTGCGAAATACTTGATTAGGAAAATTAGCAAATCCCCAATAATTCTGTGGTTCAGTCAAAGGTGTTGAACGATGAGAATCATCGAGCTTTGCTCGACTCATTCCTGAAACAGACTAATATTAGCCAAATAAGCACTCTGCAACTAAAGAGGCACGTCCACAATAAGCATCAATTTGGAACCCGACACATGGAGAAGTGACCTTATGAATCGATTTTTTCAGTTCTTTGGATACTAGGGGAAATGCTTCGCTGCTAAGGAAGTAGGGGCGCGCGATGAGTGTGAGTACGGTACATCACCACCGAGCGAAACCTATCAAGGAGTCGAATTTGGGTTGCTGGAGGAGGTCTTGGACTTGAAACCAATATTTAACATTTGCTGCTTTTTCCCTTTTCGTACGAGCTATATATTTCCCTAATTAGCGGCATGGTGCAACAATTGGTATGACAGATTGGCGCTACATGAATAACCCGCGCTCCGCCGACACGCCTCGGCTGACATCGGTGATAACGACTGCAGTTGATTGGAAATTTATTCCATCGCTTCACGATAGAATATCTGATTAAAATTCGCTGAGAGTGTGGGAAAGTCGGGGGCAGGGGGGTGGGAGGGTCGCACTGATATCGACATTTGATCCATCTCCAATGCTAAGTCCTGCATGCTTAGTGAAGCAGTGCTCTGCTGAAGCAGAGGGGAAAGAAAGAGAAGAGGGTCATTATCTCGGGAAGAAGGCGAGTACAAAAGGCTGCACAGCTACAAGCTTTTTCCCCCTCCCAGCCCTTCACTCTTTACATAAAACGATGACAAAAGCCGTCTTATCGGGTGAATCCGAAAAAAACGCCCCTGTAATTCTCCACGAAAACCTAGATACTGCATTACTTCATTTGAACTGCGATTTTTGACTACTTACAAAACTTCCATTAATTTAGAGAGTTTTGTGTTCCATTCTCTATTGAAACCTGAGCATAAGTGCATACGTTCCCTATATTCTGACCAACAATGACTTACGAATCTAAGGCCCAGCGAGCCTAAACACATTCCGCGATAGTCACAGCGGGCTGAGAAGTAGGCACCGGACTCAACATTTTCAATAGGTACGCTCCTTCTTTCTATGGTGATAAAAGGAAGGATGGCACCTTTGAAGAAGGTGTAATAGTCATCAATCTCCGCCCATCGAGTTACCGCGAAATGTGTTTTCAAGTGAGTGTTTATGTGGAGAGGAAAAAGATGTAGTGAGTGAATCCAGAGTCTCATGTCAAAGGTCGTGCTGGTAAGGAGATGAAGTCAAGAGACTAGGTTTGAAAAGACTGAAGGAGCTGGTATATCCCTTATTTGGGGTGCCATAAGATCAGGTGACACTAGCAAAAGCTTCCTGAAAACAGGAAGGCATGGAAACTTTCGTACTCAAAAATAGTGAGAGGATTTGCACCTGAAGTCCACAGCTCCGAAATGCTGAATATTACACCACCATTCTCTTTGTTCATGCACCTGTTGGCAGTTCCAGGGCTCAGTCATCCGTAGTGTCGCCGCTCCGACTAATCGAATAGTCACAGCTTCGTGCTAATAAGTTCGTACACGTTCTAGATGGCCTTCCATAGGTTTCTTTGGCAACAGCTGCGTTCCCCGTGCGAATTTGTCGTCCCCCGTTTCATTCACCTACCCATCTGTAGCCCCTTTTCCGGTCTCTGGGCTGCTCTGCATACAAAGTGTAGGTTTTGTCGTAATATTTTAAGCGCATGCCCCGCCCACTGTGGGCGGAGCTTAGCTTGGTTCATGCGTGCTATGTGCACACGTGCACACTGTCCCGTAAGCCATCTATCTCGACCTTGTTGCGAAGTAAAAGTAAAAAAGTGGCTCTGCAGGTGACTCAAATTTCCGAACAACAAACAGTGAGTTATAAAAGTTATATACAAAAGAGATTGTCCAAGCCCATTCCAAATATAGAATGCTAGTTTGGAAAATTTTCAGATTTGCAGCACAGCTATGT